GAGCTATGGTGCCGTGCTAAGGAAGAACGCCGTATGAACATTCGAGAGTTGCCAAATCGTCGCATTCCTCACGAAATAACGTAACTATATTCCAATGTTGTAAAATTTCCCTTCGTAAATTGCATTTTAACTAGAAAACTCTCGGGCATTTCTAACTGAGAATTTCACTGATTTTTCTTCCGATTGCATGCAAAAATCAGACAAATTTGGATATAAATTGCACACTTACTTTTTTGTAAAATAAATTAATTGTTGGAGTCAATTTGGCAACCTTGGATTGGAGTTACGTTCCTTCGTGCGGGAGACGACGAAATTTCCCTTGATAAGACATGTATTTTTGACGACGCTCATGCACATTTTTCTGTGAGATTTTCAGATATTTTAGATTGAATTGCGTACGATATTGTCTGAAAATTTCCGAAAAAAATTTTCATGATTTCCCCTGCAAATTTGGTATTTATCGAGGGAAATTTGGCAATGTCTGATGGCTCGTACGGCGTTCTTCCTCAGCACGGCAGTATGGTTGAGCTTTAAGTTGAATTGATGTTCGGTTTTTTCCATTTTTTTGTAGCCTGCCCGAAGGTGCTTGCGGTGATAATTTTAAGCGGGGGGAATGGTAAAAATTATCATCGATGGGTCTCTGAACACGGCGGAAGCTGAGACTTCATCATACTCACCACTTTTCCCTCCCTAGAATTCACATAAAATACACTTTACATTTAGGAACATTTTCATTAACCTTAAAAAAAAAAGGGGAAAAAAAGAAAAAAAATTAATAATTTCTTAGGTACTTGTGGTAATGCTTTAAAAGCAAAAGTAGATCAAAACTGGGCTGCTAAGAGTCATTCATAAAATACGTAACGCTAAATTTCGGATTTTTCGAATATCGTGGTCCATGCAGAGTACGATGGACTTTTTAAAAATATAATGAAACAGACTGGAGTAACGTTCTTCTCATCCCCACAACTTTAAAATTCTTTTTGTCAGTCAAAAAAGCTGTTCTGAGCTTTTATAAGCTCCAAAACGTGTTCCTGGCCAAAAGTTACACAGGTCACACGTTTTTATGAAGCAATTCTAGGATCATGCAACAGCATTAAAATAATGTAAACACTTATCCAAATTCTGTATGAGAGTTTCTCAGTAATTCTCATCCGACTAAATCCAACATGCCTTTGTTTAATTATTACACAGTGCGTCGTTCAACCAATGGACCCATGAATCTCCGAAAACTTAATCTTTTAAGACTCTTTCCGATGCATGCCCCATTTCTCTCCTTTATATGGCCAGCATGAAAATTCAATATTTTCCCTCGAAGGAAACCCGTTTCATATTTAAGTACCCTGATGTTTATCGTGCCAAGTTTTGTAAAACTTCTGCCCTCTTTTAAAGTAAAAAGGGTAGTTCAAAAAGTAGACACATGCTTCTCGTGGAGGATTGTTATTTTTTTGGAGAGGGTGGTTTTCTTTTCCTTGAAATTTATGTTGGCAGATTTTAATCGCCTCTGATAGTCTCATTGATACCAAGGAAAGGGGATTGTTGGCCAATTTGTGCAACCAAATGCCAAGATTAGAGAATGAAGATCGGATTTGATACATAAGCTACTTTTGAACTACGGTACTTAATTTTTGGTGTTGTATACTTATTTTCAAATTCCATCTTAAACGACCCAGACAATGCTGAGAGCAAAATATCGAAAATTTAAAAGAAATATAGCATGTCCTTGATAATGTTTCAAGAACTTAAATCTCCAACTTATGTTCTGTTGTTAACGTAATATTTAAAAGAATTGCTACCGTATGTGCCATGTTTTTCCTCCTCTATCTTCCTCTTATTCCTCTTTTCTTTTTGCCAGGAAAGGAATCGTTCATTCAAGAGAAGTTTGTATACCGTTTAAAATCCAAGCTTTCATTCAGAAGTATGCGAGTCGATATTTTTTCCTCCTGATGCACGACATGTTTTGATTTTAATTTAATCGAAAATTTGACTATAGAAAGTAAAAATGAATTATATGGCTGCGTCTCGGTCGTTTCTCAGGGTACATTCGTCGTTTCTCTAGCGAAAAGACGTAAGTATATTTCAATGTTGCCAAATTCCCCTTTCCAAAATGCATTGTTACGAGGAGAATCTTTAGTATTTCTAATTGAAAATTCCCTGATTTTTATCCTGATCTCATGCAAAAATCAGACAAATTTTGAACACAAATTTCACAGATACATTCTTGTAAAAAAATTGAATTTTTTAAGCCAATTTTGCAACCTTGGAATGGAGTTATGTTCCTTCGTTCAGGGAACGACGCATTAAGACGGGTCCTTATTGTTACCAGTTATGAAATAATCGTTCTAGGTAGCTCATGTTTAAGGAACAGTTTTTGTAATGTTTCTGAATCGTGAGCTACATTGTTTTTTTGGGTAGAGGAACTACCCATTTTTTCTGTTTTCATTGTTACCTCTTTTTTCTTTGGACAATTTCTCCTCCGCTAAGCAGGGTAAGATTATATAAAAATGTAATTGGACCCAACCTAATAAAGGGACCAATAAAATAATCATCAGCGCATCCCTTCTGTAATCACATGTTTGATAAAGACAAATTTAGATTTTAGGTAGTCGCACTTCGACTGGTTTTCTATCGAGACCAAAACGAGATTAAATTCTGTTAAAAAGGAGGAGTCTTTTCTCGCAATCGGTGCTATAATTGATGTAAAAAATTAAATGCCATCATTCGTCTAATCCCGGACTTCGATGAAAAATTGCATGACATGATGTTCAATTATTTTTGAGCGCTTTCTCAAGCCATAATAAGATATGTTTGTTGAAATTAATGCCAGGACTCAATGGATTTTTCTTTGGTGTGAGTTAATCTAAATTAAATTAACGGTCACTTATCCCTCTCTTCCTCGGCATTATCTCTTTGTACAAAATAATATAATGGATTTTGTTTCATACGAACTGATTTACTTTTTGATTTTTTTCGTCAGAGAACACCTTACCGTAGAGTTCGATTACTAAATGAAGTGAAGCATGAAAATTCAGGAGCGTAACTCCTTGTCCTTTTAACAAAGGCCGTCTTGCCATTCGGTGCAACACTTGACGATTTTTATTTCTTTTTTTTACCACAGAACAACTTTTTTTTCAATTAAAATGAAAGAAGGCAAAGTAATTGCATTGCTTTAAATTTTTCCAACCCCAGTGTAAACTTTACTTCTTTCCTCTGTATCTTTCGACCTGTCTTATGTACTTTTCTGTCGGTTTCTAAAAGCAGTCATCATGTTTATAATTTTAAAACAGACTTCGACGAATTCAGAAAAAAGGAAGGGGTAAAATGAACACTTTCCTTGTATGTAGAAGTAAAGCTCGGATATGAAATCTTATTTCCCCGTTTAACTTTATATACTGGACTTTCTGGCCAAAAAGGTGCTGTGATATTGGTTTTTCTCTTTTTTTTGTAAAGTCTTTGATTCCTCACTTTTTCGATGTCTCCCAGTTTCAATAGTGATCACTTGCACTAACGCTCGTATCTAAAATTTTGGATTTACCTCCAATTTTAAGGCCTCAGCTTTTAATATTTAATGTCACATTTTTACTTATATAACTTCCGTTCATTTCATTAAAGTGCTAGTTTTAAGTATGTGTAATTTTCTGGATGTAAGTGGGATGTATATTTAACTTACCTACTTTGTTCCCAAGATGTACATATTTCTTTGATGTATATTTTGTTTTGTTTAATCCTCATGTTATGTTATGACTAACCTTAGATCGTTTATTTTTCTTTTTGAAAATATATCATTTTAATAAGAAAAGTTTTCATAATTTCTTGTTGGACAGTAGCTGAAAAACTTAATCATTTGTGAAAAAATCCCAGATTTATTAACTAAAAACATCTGTGAAAAAGAGCCTTGCAACAAATATGTCTGTCGTTACCTACCCCGAAAATGTCGTTCAAAATGCAGCTTGGAGGACGATTAATTGCATTAAATTGACCCATTTTTTTTCTTCTCCTTTTTTTCGATTGGTGTTATAGTTCCACATTTGATATCCTGTCTAAAATAGAAAAAACCACTTGACAAAAGCACTATGATACAATGATACATGTGAGGGGCTCGGAGGACAAGGCGCGTATGTGCAGTTTTTGAAAAATTTGAAAAAACCAGTCTTCATGCATATTCCGTGAAAAATTCTCTCCCAATTTCTAATTTTTAAGCATCAAAAAGTCAGTTTGAACTTTCTTTCCGCCCGAAGGATCCATGTGATTTGGAAACTTCAAACACTAATTTCTCAAAATAACAAACACTGCACTTATGCGCCTTGTACTCTATAAGCCCATCGTGTCGCTCATCAACATTTTACGGGGAACACGATCTGTTCAAAGGAAATTACACTGAAAAAAATTCTCGGCGTTTTTACCAAGGTCCGTTGGTACCTTTACCATCTCACTTTTTTTTACCAACTATTGGTAATTTTACCAAGACAGACTGGTAAGCTTACCTAAAAACCGGTATTTTTACTATTTTTTCAGGTAAGAATACCACTTTTATTGGTAATCAATGCCCGGTAACTTTGCCATTTTATCTCGGTAATTCTACCGCAGTCGATAAAAAATATTGGCGTTTTTACCAAGGTTCAGTAAAATTACCGAGAAAGTTCAATAATTTTACCAAGATTTCTCGGTACCTAAAATTACCAATTCCATAAATGGTAATTTTACCAAGAAAAAACTGGGATCAAATAGAACCCTGAATTCTTGGTAATTTTACCCTTTTCTTAGTAAATACACCGATATTTTTTTTTTCAGTGTAAGCCCCTCGTGTCGCTCATCAAAATTTTACGGGGAACACGATCTGTTCAAAAGAAATTACTGAAAGTAACTCCTAACGTAACTCGAGAATTAAATGTTGTTCGATGAATCTCCTTCTTCCCTTCCTTCGATGGAACTATACTCCCCCCCCCACCCCAAAAAAATAACGGACACGTTTCGTGGGAGGAAAGGGCAAGAAAAAAAAATTATAGAGGATGAGGTTCCTTTATTCTGAGAAAAGCAAATGGAGAAGTCGAACTTAACTCCACATTTTACGGAAATACAACAGACACGCAGAAGCACAGAAAAGTACAATCTTAAGGCTTAATCAAAAGTTAATTAATCACAAATATTGTGCCTTACTGTCTTAATTTTTAAATTTTGCCTTTTACACATTTGAAGAATAAAATGAGCGAAGCTGCAACTATGTAATTTAAATTAGATCGATGAAAATTGACCATAGCTAGTGACCTTGCACGAATAAGTACACTAACTGGTTGACTTGTTGGAAAGACTGGAAGACTTGGTTTCGACAGCCTATTTTTTTAGGCTTGAAAATATTTGAATCGAGCGGGTTGTTTTTAGCGTATACTCGATTTGACTTTCTGAGGAAACTATCATAAGAGTTATTAATTTTGTTTTACTTTATATGATTACGAATTGCTTCTAAAAGAGCGTTTTATAGGAGTTGATCCTCTATCATGGAATAGAGAAAAAAATTAAAAATTAAAAGAAGTTACGTATATCAACAAAATTTTACAAAAAATCCATTTTCCCTTTTTAATTTTTACGTTAAAGTACTTGCTCGACGCTATAAATCGGCTTCCCACAAGCGGTACATACCGTGGAACTCTCTTTCAAGCAATTTTCGATTTGTTCATTGGAGAATTTTATATTTTGCAAAGTTAAATAAGTCAAGATTGTTAGGGAATTTTCACCACGGTGTGGTGATCGGATTGCAGTTTACTTATATTCAAAATTTGCGAGGAATTAAGAGTCATTTTTTAAAAAAGTACCTACCTCAATTATAATTACAGTATGTCTATTCGCTCTTAAAAGTAAATCTAAGAAAACAGCTTAAAAAAATAGAAAAATTAAATAATATAAAAAACAGTTGAGAAACTATCATGTTTACAGTATTATGTACACGGGTAACGAGATATTTAATGTAGACGTCTTTATCACTATTTCCTTGTTGACCGCGTAAGATCACTGAGGTAACTCCTCGTCAACCCTGAAACATGAGAAAAAACATAGGATACTTTTTAGATGCACCGAATAATTGTAGAAATTTCGAATTTGCTCTTCCTTTTTATTCATATTTCTGAGGAGTGACCTAAAAACCCGTACAACTAATATATTTCTGACATTTCTATTTATTCATTTATCATTGTGAAAGGTGCGGGCCAAGTTTTAATGGTACGATTTTGGAAATAAATCATCAAGTCATGATACTGGTCAGAAATGGTATACACCATTACTGCCGTGCTAAGGAAGAACGCCGTATGAACATTCGAGAGTTGCCAAATTTCCTTTTGATTAAAAGTGTATTTTTTATACAAATAATAAATATTTTTCCTCGAAATTTTCAGGAACTTTAGATCAAAGTTCGAACTAAATTCTCCATAAAATTGGTAGAAAAATATTCATAAGTTCACCAGGGAATTCGTGTGTTTTATCAAAAGAACTTTGGGAACAACTGAAGGTTCATGCGGCGTTTTTCCTTAGCTCGGCAGCATAGTAAACCACAGTGCGGTAGTGCGGTATTTCAATCTCATTTTCCCACCTTAAAGGCACAATTTTCCTTACTGTTTTTACTCGTCTTATATAGTCAAATTGCGAACAAATTGATCTGAGAAATTGGCAGAAAAATATTCAAAAATCCTCCTGAAAATTAGTGATTTGCCAGAGGAAATTTGGCAACGCCTGAAGGCTCATACGGCGCTTTTCCTTAGCACGGCAGAATATGTACTTACACCGCGCTTAGTTTGGCATGCGGCGGCATCGAGAAATTACGAATTTAAACGATGAAAGCGCGCACCGTAGTGAACGCGCAATGCGTGAAGTATTCTTCCAGTCTTGTAGGCGCCAGTTTGCATCTCGTGCCGGTCGCACTGAGTTTGGCGAGTTAGTTGAAATCGCGGAGTCAGCTTTTCTCAATTTGCTACCACCATTATGTTTTTACACACTTTAAACTACGATCGCTATAACGATAGTCGTTACTTAAAGTGACTGTTGTATTTTGTTCCTTTTTATAAAATTCCATTTACACGATTCGGATGAAAATTGAGGTTTCAGGATACCGCAACGTCTTTTTAAACATAATTGCTCGGCCTTTGATTAAATGGTTAGCCATTTTTGTGTGCTATTTATCTTTCAATATGTTTTTGGGCCGGTAAAACACTATATACATGCATTCGAGGGTTATTTAGCAATCGTTGATAATTTGAAGGCTCCTATTAATAAATGTAAAAGCTGAAAAGTCAGAGGTTATGGAACAAGAAGTGGTGACTGCTTATTTTTCCCTGAATTAAAAAAGACGATATTTTTCTCCGAAAATGCATGGTGTCATTTTCCGGATGGAGGAACGTAACTCAACTCCGAGGTTGCAAAATGTCTCAAACAATTTAATTTTTTAGAAAAATGTACCTGTGCAATTTTTTTTCCCATATTTTCCTGATTTTTCCGAGAGATCTGGGGAAAACCAGTGAAATATTCAGTTAGAAATATCCAAGATTCTTCTGGTAAAAAAGCAATTTGCGAGGGGACATTTGGCAACACTGGAATTTAGTTACGTTCTCGAGGGGAGCGACGCACAGTGGATCGAGTCAGTCAGAGAGGTCGGACATGAAATTTTTTACTAGAACTTCAAATTTTGGGGTTCATTTCGTCACATTTTAAATTTCAAGGGGTGGTTTCAGAAGAAAACTTTACGAGGAAACCAATGGAGCCACGTTTAGAACCTTAAATTTTTGTACAATTGGAGTTATAAGCGTTTAAAGTTTCCAAATTCTGTCCGACCTCTCCTATTGACTCGATCCACTGTGCGACGCGAGCGTGTGGTGAAGCATGTGGGGGGTTGAGCCGCGTAGCGGCCAGGGGGCGGCCTTCAAGTAAAGATATCTATACTATAAGCTCCAAGACCTCCTAATTTTGCGAAACTGGTAACGCTTAGTTCCAGCGTTCTACCGGGCCGATTTTCATGATTTTTGCGGTTATCGACGGGCAATTGTCTCTAGATAAGCCAACTCTTTTCAGATTCTCAAAATATGGCCCAGGTTTTTTTATATTACGTGGTAAAGTTGCGAATTCTCCCATTTAAACAATGTAAATTTATACTTTTTGTCATAGTTCGTTTGAGCGTTCTACCGGGCCGATTTCCATGATTTTTGCGTAAATCGACAGGTAATAGGCCCTAGATGAGCCCGCTCTAATCAGATTTTGGAAAAAGGACCCAGGTTTTTTTAAAATCACGTTACAAAAGTGAGTGAGTTTATAGAATGCTCCGGTACTGCTACCGCTATGCGCGGGAGGATGCGCAGTGGTCGAGGAGGTTGCGCAGTAGCTGTGTAGCCTGCGCATCAGCTCTACACTTATCTACACAAGATTCGCACCAATTCGTCACGTTGAGCGGTGACCGAGTCGTCTAAGACGTCGCGTCGTGTGCGTCCATTTTGAACTCGGTGTAGGTTCGATCCCCGACTCATGAAATCTTATTACCTGACTATCATTGTTCATTGTTTTACTGCAATATTTCATCAAGCAGTCATTCCAAAACGCGTCCTTTTAATTTTAAAGTAATTTTAAGTAAAGTTTAAAATTAAAGTATACCTCATATCGTAAATGTTTAGGGGAAAAATAAAACTAACACTGATAGGAGGGTAAAAATAGGGCCGCGAAGCGGCCCATTGATGGCGCGGAGCGCCTTCAGGGGGTTGGGCCGCGTAGCGGCCAGGGGGCGTAGCCCCCTAGTATTTATTTATTCCTTCATTTAATTCAATGGAGATGTTGCACGTGTCAGGAATTTGCGATTTGACTGTTGATTCTTAGGTAAAAGTTTGCGAGAAACACGATGGTGCCACTGGTTTTCTCTGAAATCAACTCCCAAGCTCAAAAAAAGCTCTCAAGTTGAGGCCAAAATGGAGGGGATATCCCACGCTATCCTGAGAGTCCACCACTACATCAAGACACACTCTCCATACAAAGATAGGGAGCAAATACATTGACAGGGCTGCCATTTTATTTGGGGACTCTAAAACTGAAAACACGGCATCACTATTAATGTATTTGCTCCCTATCTTTGCATGGAGATTTCGTATTGATGTAGAGGTGGACTCTCAGGATAGCTTGGGATATCCCCTCCATTTTGGCTTCAACTTGAGAGCTTTTTTCGAGCTTGGGAGTTGATTTTAGAGAAAACCAGTGGCACCATCGTGATTCTCGCAAACTTTTACCTAGGAATCAATTGTCAAATCGCAAATTCCTCACACATGCAACATCTCTATTCCAGATTAGTAAAAATTATCATTTTTATAATGTTATATCAAAGGTCAATAACAATTTAAACCATCCAGGACCTCCCAAAAGACAATTAACCGCGTAGAGAACGAGTATGAATTTAGACCTAAGAGGTGCACATTAATAATTGTTTTAATGAGGCTTCGTGCTCAGAACGTCACGCACGACTTGGCTTAATGTGACGGCAGTTGCATGCATCGACCACCATCTGAATGCAAAGTAGCCGAAATTATTCCGACTTAGACGGAGCGTCACTCACACGCGTTATGAGCCCTGATCACCTGAACCTTGTGATATCTCTATCCAGTGGCGTGGCGTGCTTTGCAATACATCGATTGATCTGTCATTTAAACCTATAGAAAAGGATCGATTATTAACAGGGTGTTTGCAGCGAACACCTTAAAAATAGATTCTTTACCGCGGATTCAAATGGGGAAATATCGATAATCGATCACTCACGCCACGCCACTGTCTCTATCGTCGAGTGCAAGAATTCTGTCATTGAACTGTATTGATGATAAAGAAAGAAGGAATAATATCATTTTGCTAAACATTTTTTCATGTTCATTATTCATGTTTCAAATGAGGGGGAAAACAGGGAAAATTCAGAGCTAAATTCTAAAAAGTAAGTTTGCATTGACTGTTTTTTGGACTTTGAAAGAGCTGAAACATGTGTCGGAGTGTGCGAGTTAGGGAACCCTTCTTTCAGGGAGATTCAGGCGAAATTTACGAAGAAAAATTGTCATCTAAAGCATCTTAAATTCTATGGATCAATTTTTAGTTTTTAATTTTTTTTTTTAACTAACCACAAAATAAGGTGCAATATGAGTTAGCTAAAATGGTATGAAAAATATAGGAGGGTTCAAATTTACAATTTGTTTTTATTTATTTATTTATTTTTTTTTTTTATTTTTTTTTTTTTTTTTTTTTTT